TTCAGTGCAATCACTCACAAACCACATTAATACACATCCGCATCGGTGAACGATCGGTCTACTACTGAAAAATGAAAATTTTAATATTGCTTGATATAACGGCGCACGGCGTTTCAAAGCGGATTTTTAAATTTTGTTAGGGTTGTCCATATTCTGTAGTTAAACAAATATATAATAGTATATAGGTATGTATGTTATTGTTTTTCATAATATGGTTAAATATTATGCCAATTTATTACTGCTATTATATTATTACTATAGTCTTTTTATTAGGTTCATCGCTGCTTAAATTTTAATTTAAGGAGTCGTAAAATATAATCTATACAAACAAATAAAATTGAAGTGTCTGTTTGTAATGTCAAAATAACAGCTTTTTACTAAATGCATATGAAAGTAAATACGGTACTTATAACTAAAATACAATTTTAAAATTTTTGTCAGTCTGTCTGTGTGTCCGTCTGTTTGTTCCGTCTAAACTCCGAAACGGCTGGACCGATTTTGACGGGACTTACACTGGGAGATAGCTGATGTCATAAGGAGTAACGGAGGCTACTTTTATTTTAGAATAATTTAAATTTAAAAATTTGGTACAGCGGAATTCAATATAAGCGACTTCAATATAGGTTATTTAAGAATAACTCAATAACCATTGGTCTGACCTTGATCGAATTCATATGGGACCACACGAGAACTATCAGCTTTCATATAAAAAAAGAATCATCGAAATCGGTTCGCCCAGTACAAAGTTATGAGGTAACACACATAAAACAAAACACAGTGGAATTGAGTACCGTCTCCTTTTTGGAAGTCGGCAGAAAAGAATTAGGGTTCCGCGCAAAAAAGTATAAACCCTAATACGTGAGCGAAGTCGCGGGGAACAGCTAGCTAGTAATAAATAAAATATTTGACAAATAAGTATTGTGCTAAACTTACGAATTTATATACGCTTTATTATTGAAGATGGTACATTCGTATTTCAAATGCATATACATCTATTTACTTAAGGCAGACGTTACGTGGTAGAGCCATCGTGCAGCTATATTAGTAGTATAGTTGTAGCACGAGTGGGTCGGATCGACCGGGGAAGGACTACGCTCTCAAAGAATACCAGCTTAACGCTGCTGTGGGTGAATGTAGAGAACCGGATACCCTTTTTACTTCAAATGAGGCATTCCATCTTAGTCCTCACGGGTGACAACGAGGATAGATGTAGATGTGTATGGGCCACAGCAACCACTTACCATCAGGTGGAATGTGTGCTCGTTTGTCACTAAGTTTTGTTTCACAATCGTGTGTCTTGTTGTTGTTATTCAGTTCAAAACGTTTATAAGATATGGTATATTACAAATGTCATTATCAGATCACTGAGTTTCAAATAACGGCATTACTAGGTCTCGATGTCATAATAACAGTTAACCAATCACACTTAATACTGAGAAAAACAATCTTACAATTTTTTAAATTTAAATTGAATTCAAAAAACTTTCCTATGAAAGCAAATAACTTGTAATAAACTCCCACGGTAATGCCCCGGTAAAGTCCATAATACTATTTGACTTATTTTTCCTTTGGCATTTTCAAATAAATGACTGATGTCAATAAATTGCATACATCTGTATGTAATTACTCTAAGCAATAAATATAGTTTTTTTCATTTTAGGGTTCCGTACCTCAAAAGGAAAAAACGGAACCCTTATAGGATCACTTTGTTGTCCGTCTGTCTGTCTGTCTGTCAAGACCTTTTTTCTCAGGAACGCGTGGAGGTATCAAACTGAAATTCATACCAAATATTAAAGTCTACTGTCTGTTGGAGCTGTGAAAAAATTAAACTTCTAAGCCAACGCACTCAAAAGATACAGCTGTTTATGCCGCAAATTTTCGATATTCGCAAGGGAATCAAAACCTACAGGGTACTTTCCGTTAACTCAGAATCTTAAACTTTGGTACGAAGCAACGTGTTATAGCACAGATAAAGGAAAAATTGCGAAAAGCATAAATTTTTAGTTACATCATATAATAAAAATATTTTTAACAATTTTAAACTTATATACCTACGGATTTGTTCCGAACCCTCGGTGCGCGAGTCCGACTCGCACTTGGCCGGTTATTTTACATATTTGTACTGATTGGTCTATTCCTTTAATTTTCGCACAGAGGAACTTCATTTTAAAACATTAGTAAATTGGAAACATATTGAAGTAATAAAATTTTAATTTCTTTCGTCCTAAAATACCAAGTTTTCAATTACTTTCATTACATTATTCCTCCAATTCCTACATCCTCTTTCCACCAACCGTCCAACGAGGCGGTTGACGGGCCTTTAACCCTTTTTTATCGATATTTCACGTATTCAAACCCAACGGTTTGCTTCGTCTTTCTTTATGCGTATTACGAAGAAGTGGAATAATTTACCGGCGTGTCTTTTTTTCTGATTGACAAGGCAAAAGAGAATAGGCTTTTGTTACGCTAAGACAGTGCAATTTACTACCAAGGGTTTCATCACCACTTACCACCAATTGGGATTGTAGTCAAGCATTGGCTCATAATGAAGTAAACATAAATTATTACACTAGCGCGGCTTTGCACGGGTGATTTCTGGATCTCGACAACAACGCCACCTATTGGGTCAAATTGTGAAACTAAACCTTTCTCCAATCAAAATAATCACGCATAAAATTTCATCATAATCGGTTCAGCGGTTTAGGAGGAGTTCAGTCACATACACACGGACAGAAGAATTACGAGTATAATATTAAGGATTTACACTCAATTTTGTTTCCCAGAAAAGTGTCGATATCGAAAGTTGGCATTTGTCAATGCATGGAACAAATAAGTGTCTCAGACTTGCGCGCAAACTCAAAAGTACACTATTGCTAATCTACCAAAATCCGTTTTAAAGTCGTTACCTATAGAACGTTTTTTTTTGTACATATCATTCATCATCATCATCATTACAGCCCTTCACAAGTCCACTGCTGAACATAGGCCTCCCCCAAAGAATGCCACAAAGCACGGTCCTGAGCCACCTGCATCCATCGACTTCCTGCATGTCTTACCAGGTCGTCACTCCATCTCGTGGGGGGACGCCCTACACTTCGCCTACCGGTACGAGGCTGCCACTCGAGAACCTTTCTTCCCCATCGGTTGTCGGTTCTTCGAGCTATATGGCCGGCCCACTGCCACTTCAGCTTACTAATTCGTTGGGCTATGTCGGTTATTCTGGTTCTACTGCGGATATCCTCATTCCTAAGTTTATCACGCAGAGAAACTCCGAGCATAGCCCTCTCCATAGCTCGCTGAGCGACCTTGAGCTTCCTCATACGGCCAGCAGTGAAGGACCACGTCTCAGTTCCGTAAGTCATCACTGGCAACACGCACTGGTTGTACAATTTCGTTTTAAGGTTTTGAGGTATGTCTGACGAGAAGATGTGTCGTTGCTTCCCGAACGCTGCCCAGCCGAGTTGAATCCGTCGATTGACCTCTCGGTCGAAGTTGGACTTACCTAGTCGGACTATTTGTCCCAGGTAAACATACTCGTCAACAACTTCGAGCTTAGTGCTCCCAACAACTACCGGCATAGGTGTGACATGGACATTAAACATAATCTTTGTTTTGTCCATGTTCATCTTAAGACCTATCCAAACACTATTGAGGTCATTGAGCATAGTGCTTAGGCCCTCCAGCGATTCTGCCATAAGGACTATATCGTCGGCAAATCGAAAGTGAGTGATGTACTCGCCATTGATGTTGATACCGTACCCTTTCCAGTCCCGAAGCTTGAAAACGTCTTCCAATGCAGCGGTGAAGAGTTTCGGGGATATGACGTCACCCTGTCTTACACCTCTCTGCAATTGGATAGGTTTCGTACTCTGGTTCTGTACTCGGATAGCCATCGTAGCCCTACTGTACAAGCACTTCAACACTTCGATATACCGACAGTCAACTTGTCACCGCTGAAGGGACTGCAGCACCGCCCAAATTTCGACGGAATCAAAGGCTTTCTCATAGTCCACATACGCCAGACATAGTGGCAAATTGTACTCTTCGGACTTCTGTACAACTTGCCGAAGGGTATGTATGTGGTCTATGGTGCTAAAGCCCTTTCGGAAACCGGCTTCTGCGGGAGGCTGGAAATCGTCAAGTCTGCGCGCGAGACGATTCGTAATGACTCTCGAAAACAGCACGTAGACGCGGCTCAGAAGGGAAATCGGTCTGTAGTTCTTCAAGAGAGCGTTGTCGCCTTTCTTGAAGAACAAGACCACCGCACTTCTGCTCCACGCCTCCGGTGTAATGCCACCATGGAGGACGGAATTAAAGAGCTTCTGAAGGACTTCAAGTACCGGTCTTCCACCCGCTTTCAGAAGCTTTGTACATAGGAAAATCCTAATGTATGTCGGAATCCTACCGACTAAAATTTCACGGTATTTTGTCCTCTCTCTTTAGTCAGAGCTATGGGACGGCTACATTGCCGTAGACCCGCCGGCGGTGGCTCCAATCGGAACCCTCACGGTGTAAGGGATAAGATTGTTGAGATTTCTGTCCTTACTTCATGTAGCGGTGTGTATGAACACTGGGCGCCTTCTCGGGGCCCTTGAAGGAACACTTCAAAGGCTGTTCTCTATATGACCAACGTGTTATCTCCATAACTTAAATAGACCCTTTTTAATGGTAACCAAGTATTCCCTCTTAGCTCTCAGGTGTGACTACGCGTCTAAATTTTGAACGTAAGTCAAAGAGAAATGTAGGCTGTGTGCTCGTTTTTCGCCCTTACTTCTTAAGAAAAAGACATTCAGTGCATCTTAAATACTTTACATTCGACATCTTGCATTTCTACGTAATCTATATTATACCTGATTTTTTATAATAGGTTAAGGATGACAAACGAGTACACACCACCTGATCCTGCCCCGGTCAAACCGGCCCATTCGTGCCAGCATGGCTATACCACGTAAAATAATGTATAAAGTATGTTATATTTTAACTAGTCTTCATTGTTCCAGGAGCGACAAAAGAAATAGGCACGGCACTGACGAGAGTGTGCCTGCGCCACCGCGCTATCGAATCCAGGATGAAGACATTCATAAGGTAATTTTTTTTTATTAATTTCAGAAACTGTATCGTCATATACATAATCAATATGCGCCTTTACGTGTTTGTAGTTCTAAGCTTTAAAATAATAAAATAATACACAGTTTCTGGATAGCGTAAGAGGCGACAGAGGGAAACTAATACAGAAGATGGGCAGCAGCGTCTTTCTGATAACAGCAAAAAGCAATAAAAAAACTGCGGTTGCCAACCCGCTCGCCAAACCTGCTAACTATGGCAATATCCCCCCCATGAGCAACGACACAGATAAACGGCCCCTGTCCTCGGCGGCCCCGCTATTCCTGGCTACGGTGGCGACCATGGTAACGGCGGGGCAGGGGGTGCTAAGAATCTCCGGTGGAGTTTCAGTTGCCACTTACGACAAGTCGACCGGGCAACATATAACGCACGCACCCTGAAGACTGATGAAAAGATCCTGGTGTTGGAAGAAGAGATAGACAAGTTGCGCTGGAATATTATAGGATTATCCGAAGAGAGGGGGAGGACATGGTAATCCTCGAATCCGGCTCATTTTATCACCGGGGTGGTGACCATCTGTCCCAAGGAGGTGGCGGATTTATCGTCCACAGGTCTCTCTTTAACAACGTTGTAAAGATTGGGAGTTTGTCGACGAAAGTTGCGTACGTTATACTCAGAATCACCAAACGGTATTCGCTGAAGGTCATACAGGTTTACGCAAGAACGTCGGCACATCCCGATGAGGAGATGGAGGATATATATGAGGATATATCTAAAGCCATGCATTCCTTCAAAGCCCACGGTGTTAATGGGAGACTTCAACGCAAAACTAGGCACAAGAGAGAACGGTGAGCTGAAAGCAGGGAAATTCGGAATAGGGCAACGGAACCCAAGGAGCCAGCAGCTGGCCGACTTTATGGAGAAAGCGGGACTCTTTATGATGAACTCTTTCTTCCAAAAGCGGTTCCACAGAAAGTGGACCTGGTCGAGCCCCGACGGTTCGACAAAAATGAGATTGACTTCATTATGACGACCACTGTTCAGTGATGTCTCAGTGATCGCAAGGGTTATAACTGGTAGCTATCACCGAATGGTGAGAGGCACACTGAACCTAAACATTAAGTTGTCAGAGGTGTGGAGTGTAGTTGGAGTGTGAGAGGTCACGTCTAATGAAATCAACGCTCCGTCCTCATCGTGCTCTAATCCAAAGCCCCGAAAACTTTCAGCTCGATTTGCGAAACCGTTTTCAGTGCCTAGAAGATTGCAAGGAAGTGGACGATATGAATGACCAGCTTGTGGAAACTGTCCGTGCGGTCGGAGCTAAGTTCTGTAAGACCCGTCACAGAAGAACATAAAAACTCTCCGATCATACTCTTAATCTCATGGCTGTTAGATGGGAGATGAAGTTGCAGTCTTTATTAGATTTGACAGCATACAGGCAACTGTACAGACAGATCTCCAAATGCATATGGTGGGACTTGCGCAACTTCAATACAGCTGGTGTTGAAGAAGCGATCGAGCGGAACCAGGGCTCCAAAGTTTTTGCCAGAGATCTGTCTGCTAGAAAGAGTCACCTGTCGAAGCTGAAGACCGAATGTGGCAGCATCGTTTCTGGGACACCCGAGATTTTGAGTCGAATTGAGAGATTCTATGGGCAGCTGTACACGTCATCGTTGGAGCCACACACAAGTATGAGTAACGATCCAAGAGTAAGTCTTATCCGACACTATTCCGATGATATCCCGGACGTCAGTCTGAGCGAGATTAGAATGGCTCTCCAGCACCTTAAAAACGACAAGTACCTGGGTGAGGACGGAATTACAGCGGAGCTTCTAAAAGCGGATGGAAAACCGGTACTCGAAGTCCTTCAGAAGCTCTTTTATCTGTCCTCCATGGTGGCACTACTCCGGAGGTGTGAAGCAGAAGTGCGGTAGTCTTGTTCTTCAAGAAAGGCGACAGCGCTCTTTTGAAGAACTACATAAAGATTTCCTTCTGAGTCGCGTCTACGTACTGTGTTCGAGAGTCATTCTCGCAGGCAGACTCGACGACTACCAACCTCCCGAACAAGCCGGTTTCCGAAAAGGCTTTAGCACCATATACCACATACATACCCTTTGGCAATTTGTGCTGAAGACCGAAGAGTACAATCAGTCACTTTATCTTGCGTATGTGGAATATGAGAAAGCCTTTGATTCCGTCGAAATTTGGGCGGAGCTGCAGCCCCTTCAGCGGTGCCAAGTGGACTGTCGGTATGTCGAAGTGCTGAAGTATTTGTACAGTAGGGTTACGATGGCTATCCGAGTACAGAACCCAAGTACGACACCTATCCAACTGCAGAGAGGTGTAAGACAGGGTGACGTTATATCCCCGAAACTCTTCACCGCTGCATTGGAAGACGTTTTCAAGCTACTGTTCTGGAAAGAATACGGTATTAACGTCAATGGCGAGTACATCACTCACCTTCGAATTGCCGACGATATGGTCCGTATAGCAGAATCGCTGGAGGACCTAAGCACTATGCTCAATGACCTCAATAGTGTCTCAAACGGATAGGTCTTAAGATGAACATGGACAAAACAAAAATCACGTTTAACGTCCATGTCACACCTATGCCGGTAGTTGTTGGGAGCACTAAGCTCGAAGATGTTGACGAGTATCTTTACCTGGGACAAATAGTCCGAATAGGTAAGTCCAACTTTGACCGATTGGTCAATCGACGGATTCAACTCGGTTCGGCAGCGTTCGGAAGATTACGACCCGTCTTCTCGTCAGGCATACCTCAAAACCTCAAAACTAGATTGTACAACCAGTGCGTGTTGCCAGTGATGTCCTATGGATCTGAGACGTGCTCCTTTATTGCCGTATGAGGAAGCTCAAGTTCGCTCAGTGAGCTATAGAGAGGGCTATGCTCAGGGTTTCACTGCGTGATTAACTTAGAAATGAGGATATCCGCAGTAGAACCAGAGTAACCGACATAGCCCAACGGATTAGTAAGCTGAAGTGGCAGTGGGCCGGCCATATAGCTCGAAGAACCGACAACCGATGGGGAAGAAAGATTCTCTAGTGGCAGCCTCGTACCGGCAGGGCCCCACTAGATGCAATGGCAATCTGGTAAGACATGCAGGAAGTCTATGGATGCAGGTGGCTCGGGACGATGCATTGTAGCATTCCTTGGGGGAGGCCTGTTTTCAGCAATGGACTTGTGAAGGGTGTAATGATGATGATGATAATAACACAGTCTCTATTCTTTTGACGTTGTAGAGTAACGCAGTAGCTATATTATGGTTGTGGTACAGTAGGTGGGCTCGACTGTAAAAGGAACACTCACTCACAGAATATCCGCGTGCAATAGCAGCTTAATGATGATGTGCTTCGTATTTTGAGTGTAGGGAACCAGAGATCCATTTTTATTGGAAACGAGGCTTCCGATCTTAGTACTCACTACTCAAGGGTGACAACGCATCTGCATTTTGGTTCTTAATCGAAGGCAAATGTAAATGACAATGGGCCACAGTATCTACTTACTATCAGCTTGACTGTGATGTTGTGCATCAATTGCAAAGGTTTTCTTAATTAATTAATAACAATATTTGTTAATTAATTATTTATATACCCTGTTTATTTCATGGCCAAATGTTACCTTAAAAAGGTCCCTCTGGGTTTCTTGCTGGTTCTTCCCAGGACAGAGGTTTTTCCGAATGGTGAAGGTAAAAGTAACAAATGACTTATAATAATTAGCTGGCTCGGAATATGATTGTACTGCCCTTCCGGTAGGTTATGTGATGACATTTTACAGTATAATAATAAAATTTATTTATAGCCCGACCACAGAAATATTGGGTCCAGGTTTTGTGATTTTCTTAGATGGCATTAAACCAACATAATATATTGTGAATATGAGTAATTTTGGTCTGTAATAGATGACTTGATTACAGCTCCACCTATTGGATCCTAGCAAAGCAATAAACCATCATCTCGAGAAAACTAATATAACCTCAATCGGTCAAGTCATTTAAAAGTTACTCGATCACTAACGGACACCCCTAATTAAAAAAAATTATCCAATATAATATTACTATGCACCAGCAATTTTTATACCGTAATAATAAATAGTGTATAATAGGTGAATGAAGCTGGAGAGTATATGGCATAGCTATATTATAATTTTTTTAATTGGCATTTTATCAAATTGCTCTACTAATAATTAATTTATACTTGCCACGCGTAAAGTAGGTTGCTTTGTGATTTAAAGTTCGCTATATTTAAACTTTTTTTTTTTATTAAGTTTATTCAAAAAAATTCATAATGAAACTGATTAAGTTGTAAACTGAAAAAAATGAATTTTTTTTGACAGTTAGGAATATTTATGACATTTTACATCCAAAATTATTTTTTGAATTTACATCGTTTATCTGTCAACATTTAAACCAATGAATTGATTGATTGAACTGAGATATCTGATACTCAAACCTCTGTAAATTAAACTAAACTACAAGCGCTATACTAAGCATATATAGCTAAGGCTGTTTCAAGCATGATCAATGTGCTCTCACCTCAACGATACTATTTTTTTTCGCCGAATCATTGTATAAGTAACGTACGTTGTTTTTTTTTTAATATAAAACTGAAGTCGCAAAAGAATCCACAGTCAACCTGATGTTAAGTGGCTAATGCAGCCCATATATACCTGCAACCAAATTCAGACAAAGACGGTTACAGATGCGTTGTCACCTCTGCGGACTAAAACGCCTTACAGCCTGTGATTGTCCTGGCTCTCTTTACCTTTCAGACCAAAACAAAGTAATGTACTCACTGCTGCAGGGCTAGCATGAGCAGGAGACCAAGGATATCCACCCTTCGAGCATGGGCACACCGGTGGATATAATATCCACAGTAGATAAAATGGGAGATAGACGTAGATAGTTTTTTTGTATGAATATAAACTTTAAATCACGTCCAATGAACTAGGATATAATTGTCCCTTTTAAATGTCAAAAAAGCATATTTTCTTATCTTTCATT